GTCACGCTGACACCATGAGACGCTTCTTGTGCTGCTTAGGGCCGAGGATGGAGCAAAGCCCACCAGATACCAGCATTTCCTCATCCCCCTTGGCTTCTCTGGGGATGGGAGGGAGTCCAGGCCCCACCATGGCCACACAAAGCCAGGCCGCATCCTTCCTCCTGTGTGGTAGCCCCACAAAATCAAGGCACAGAGCCCTGAGTGAGCACACTAAGGAGAAGAGGTCCAACCTCCCCGCTGCCCCCACAACTCAACGGTGTTATCTGTCTCTTAGGCCTCCCTCGCTCATGCTGCCACCATAATATCTGAGCGCCTCCCGGCCTAGTAGACTGCCATAGCGAGGTCCCTGCTTGACCTCATGGAGTCTTCTGCTCTCCTCCCTGCTCCGGTGGCGGGGAGCACCAGCCGGGGTACGTTGTCCTTATGGTTTTTTCCCCTGCCCAGAAAGGCTGCGCCCATCTGTAACGCCGTGGTGGTCCTGGTGGAAAGGCTTTGGCTGGATGGTGGAGCTCTGCTGGCTGCTTGCTTCTTTGCAGGACGTTTTCCCTTCACCTTCGGTATGCAGTTTCGACAGGCTGCCTGTGTCATTCTCACCTCTGGCAGGGCCCAACTCCAGGACACAGTGGAAGCCGTGAACTTGCTCTTGGTTCTTTATAAGGGGTTAAAGATAGGCCTGGTGATGGGTGTTCTTCACGTCGGTTAAAATGAAGGCTGTGGTTTTCTTCTCTTCCAGAGTCTCCCAGGGCTCTGTTTGTCTCCCGGGGCTCCGTCATGTCGTGTTTCACTCACCTGTGGCACTCCAGCACGCCAGACTCCCCCACCAGCCCGGTCCCTGCCTCTCCAGCCGAAATCCCCATCCCCATCAGCCCCATTGTCATCACCTCCCCGGGAGATGGCAAGAGGAAGGCCAGGTCCCCAACCGACAAGCCGGGCTCTCCAAACCCAACATCCCCAAAGCCAACCTCCCCTGTCGAGTGCTCCATTTGCTTCAACACCTATGACAACACCTTCAAGACGCCCAAGCTGCTCCAGTGCTCCCATGTATTTTGCCTGGAGTGCGTGGCCCGCTTGAGCACGGGGCTGCCCCCGCACCAACCCGAGGACCAGCTCCCCTGCCCCTTCTGCCGGCAGCTGACCAGCATCCCTCTGGAAGGTGCCCCCGCGCTCAAAACCAGCAAGGAGCTCCTCGCCACGCTGCCCCCCGAGCTCCAGCAGGAGAAGGTGCTCTGGATGGAAGGGACCAAGCTCTGCTGCCGCCAGGCATCCGAAGACCCCGAAAATCCAGACTCCTGCATCTCCATCGACGTCGCCATGAGCAAGCCAGAAAGCCCCGAAGCTCCCCCGACGGGGTTAGCGGGGAGGCTGTCCCGCTGCGACATGTGCGACGACTGGAAGCGCATCGTCCTCCTCTCCGCGCTGATCATCATCCTCTTCTGCATCATCCTGTGGCCGGTGCAGTGCGCCCTGAAGACGGGGAACCTCCGCTGCTTCACCAGGACTGTGACGATGAACAGGCCAGAGTATCTGCCCCCTAAACACACCACGGCGGCTGCCCCCGTCACATCGCTCCCTTTCCAGTAGCAGCGACCCAGCAGCTCCTGCCTAGTGAATCCCTGCGGCACTGGGACACACGCACCCACCTCCCAAAATGCTTCCCTGCCAAAGAAGGCGCCTCAGCATCCAAGCTCTCCATGGAAACCAGAGCTTTGGAGGCCATGGACAGGTTTCTGGGACTGTTTTCTCTCCGGCTCCCGGGTGACAGTGGGTGCAGTTCCTCCAACTCCCTTCGGGAATAAAGGGCTATTTTTTGTGACCAGAAGGATCTACATGATTATCCATAAGGAGCTGGGATTGGGAGGGTAAAGCCGTGTCAAAGTTGCATAAACAGAGGAAAACTCACCCCGAGCCACACGCTCGGAACATTTTCCCCTGTGGGACTCGGTGTTGGAGGTACAAATGCTGCCTCCTGCTGACAAAACACGGGTTTGGCACCGCTGCTCACCTGGGCTGTGCTGCCATCCTCTGAACGGAGCAGAGCAGCCGTGCCACTCGATTTTCCTAAGAAAATGCTTAAAAAAATCACTACTCCCCACCTGGAAAGGGGTTTTGAACACAGGGCTGAGCTCCGTTAAGCACACAGACACCGCACCGTAACCCTGCAGTTCCTTAATTAAGTTCCTCAATCAGCAAACTTCATCATTCTCACAGGCAAACAGTCGCCAAAATGAAAGGAGTTTGATCTTTTGTCAGCTTTACCCTCCCAATCTTAAAATGTGTCAGTATTAAGACACAGGCCAGTTGCTTACACTATATTTTTATTTAACGCAGTGATCTTCTGACAGTGATTAACAAAAGTCTTCGTGATGAAGGTGGCTTACAATTAAGTGTTTTCTATTCAGACACACGGATGTAAGACAGTATTGTATGCGAGTACCATACGTGTATGTATTAAATTATGTTTTCTACAATGCAAGGTGTCAAGCTGTAGCAATTACTTCATGTTTTCCCTTCTTACTTGCGAGTTGGGGGTGTTCACTTTGCAGTCCTGAGTCCAGCTGCATTCCCGTGGTACTTCTGTGCTCTGGTCCGTGCACCAGTTGTCCCAGTGCTGTACAACCCTGCACACGTGGACAGCTTTGTCCTGTAAATTCAGGGTGGTTTTGTCCCAACTGCAAGACATCATAGCCTTAGAATCATAGACTTCCCTCTGCATTTACCCAATTTGACCTGAAAAATGAGATGCTGCAAAGCGTGCTCATCTTTCGCTTCTTCCCAGCTGGATGTAAGACACTTCCAGTCTCCTTTTCCAGAAATCCTCATTTGAAATGGAAAATTTTGCCTGATTTGAAGCGATGGCAGAAGTAACTCAAGCCTGTTGCTATGCAGAACCTCCATGCAAAGCTGTATATCTGCACCACCTTCGCTCAGCTGCAGGCTGACGTTATCTGTGCCAGCACAAAACCTTGCCAGGGATCCTCACTTGTGTCATTCTGTCCTTTCCCTGCGTTTGCCACTGAAAGGCGATCTTCACAGCACCGATTTAAGTGTGTTCTTGGAAAAGGTGACTCACCAAGACTTAAGGCACTTCTGTTCCACCTGAGGTGCGTGTGGGACTAAGGCCAGCAGGCAGACACCAGAGAGATGAAGTGCTTTGTTGTTACGTCTCTGTTGCCCGTGTGCTTGGAAATAAAAGTCGAAGGTTTAGCTACCACGCAGCTGAGCCTCTCACAAAAGGAAGATTTAAAGCAAGTGAAAACAGGGTCCTGAATGATTTGGCAATGGGAGACACTCAGGATGCTCCACTGGCCACACCAACTGTCAGTCGCTTTCTCAAAAGAAAAGCAAACTACTGGAAAGGAAGGGAAAAAAAAAAAAGCCTTGAGAATATTCAACATTTATTAAAAGTGCAATAAAAATAAACAGTTCTCCTGTCCCTGCGACAAGGGACCAGGAAGACCAGCCAGGAAATAGAGCCAAGGTACATCACTGTGCTTTGGTTCAACCCCTTCTGCTCAACGTTTGGGGGACTGACACCCCAACCGTGCTGCGAGGCCATCGGAGACCCTGGAGGGGCTTCAGCACCGATGGATCCCACGGGAAGGGGTCCTTTGGCAGGACAAAAGGCCTCAGGGCTGGACCAGCAGGCACAAGCCAAGAGCTGGAATACTCTGCTCAGCAACACACTCATCTTCAACTCACACAGGCCCCTACAACACCCCTACTCGGCAGATACAACACTTGCCTTGTCATACAGCTGCGGGGGGGGAAAGCCGTGCAGCAAGGTAACGGCAGAGCTGCATCAAGCGTAGAGGGGCTCAGAGTTCAGCTCAGAGCGGCCTGATGCTCGCTAGAGGTGGCTACAAGCACAGCGCGTGGTCAAAGCTGCTCTCCTACTCCTCAGCATCCATCAGCCAGGTGGGATTTCACTTCCCTCAGCGTTCAGACTCACAGAGCCGAAGGTGGAGATGCCCACCTCCATCTCCCAGTGCTGCTGTGAAGGCCAGGCACGGGGTGGCTCAGACACACACACACACACACACACACACACACAGATCTCTTGTACCCTAACAGCAGGGATGGCTCGGTGCGCTCGGGCAGGGTTGCATAGGAATCTAGAGCTGGTACAGCCAAAGGGAAGGGTGAGAAGAACACAACGGAGGTGGAAATACCTGGGGCCTCTCACCCTCACAGGCAGCAAGGTTACTTCAGGATTTAGCCTGAGAACACTTCTGGCTTCAAAATGATTGACCTAATGAAAACGTGAAGGTGTACTAACATTTTACTAACGGCCTAAGTGGGCAACCCTGGGAAAGCTCCTAAGCAAATAGCCATTTCCATTCCTTTTATCAATTTGTGTGTAAAAAATAAGAATCTTAAATTAAAAAAAAAAAAAAAAACAACAAAAGAAAAACAAAAATTAAAACTGAGCCTTGATGCCCTAATGAATGTCCAGAGGCACTTCCACATAAATATCCAGCTACTGATAGAAAGGAGCACGGGAGGAGATCCCTCTCACGAATAAGTTAGGACAAGGCGTGTTCTTAAGGCGCAGGCTCTGCTTGCTTCTCACAGTCAGCTTCTCCCTCCCTCGCCGAATCCAAGGTGCTCGGGGAAGGCAAGGCAGGCAACAAAATCTGTCTGCAGCCGCAGAACTTGGCAAGGGTGGACGTAAACGCTGCAAACCCTGCATCCCAAAACAAGAAGGAAGAAGGAGGGCACGGTTTATAACTGGGAGAGCATTGAAAGGGTCACAGAGCTGAGTCACTCAGTGTTTGGAGTCTCTGCAACTTGTTTAAGTACCGCTACCAGCCATGTAAATGTGTTTCCCTCTTGAGATGCCATTCCCCAGCTCTCCCACCAGCAGCATCTTCAGGCTCCAGCAAATTTCATCGGAGCACAGCTTTGACAGCACAGAGATCTGCATGGAGCCGGCTCAAACGCAACATACCCAGACTGTGGTGACACCCAGGGGAGCATTCCCACCCGTACACCCTCCGCACGGCTCACCTCCGGCTCCTTTATCGCCCGCTATTACTCATCCCTGAAACCTTTGGGCTTTTGATGTTGAGGTTCTCGTAGACGGAAGCTGACTCATCCTCAACCCTGTCGAGAAACAAAGCCTCATCATCGACAGCCACGCTGCTCTGGGTCTGTTCCCAGAAGAAGGTGGCCACTGAAAGTGGGTGATGGCCCAGCCAAGCTCCCTTTTCCCTCCCCAGCACTGTGGATAGAAAGTCACAGGCTTACCCCTTCTCCATCCCTGTTTTCTCTCCCTGTGCCCCCTTCCTTCAGATATTGCTGTAAAACCCCCTCAGCGGCACAAGCATTTCATTCTCTAGCAGGCATCCTCCAGAGATGTCACCCAGAGCCAAAAACATGGGGCACTGCTCACTAAAGGCTGGGATTTACTGCCTGCTCTCCTTCCCAAAGCATGGCACACCAGAGTAGGGTGTGCTGACAGCGAGGGGATCATCTCCTTATTTTTAGCCATTCCCATACAACACGATTCCCATTGGATAGTCAGGTTTTGGGTATGGGAGACGCAGGCTGGCAAAGGATAAATAACGTTTATCTTACGCAGACTGGGCCCGTGGTGAAGGGGGCTGCCCTTTGGCTCGGCCTTTCTCCATTGGAGAGCACACGATGTTCAAGTAGTCCCGCTCTTTCCTTTTATTCCTCTGAAAGAGAAAGCAAAGACAATGAAACCCTGCTCAAAGCAGACACAGAAGAAAGCTTTACAAGACCCCATGTGCCAGCAGAGGAGCAGCGGGTATGGGTTTGTGTGTTCAGGGCAGTATTTGGGATGCAGGGAGGAGGTGGGAGAGGTGTTCGGATGAGCTTCAACAAGGCCAAGTGCTGGGTCCTGCACTTGGGTCGCTATAACCCAATGGATGCTACAGGCTTGGGGACGAGTGGCTGGAAAGGACCTGGGGTGTTGGTGGCAGCAATGCCCATGAGCAGCAATGTGCCCTTGAGCCAAGAAGGCCAACGCCATCCTGGGCTGGATGAGAAGGGGTGGTTGGAGGGCAGAGAGGTTCTCCTGCCCCTCTGCTCTGCCCTGCTCACACCACAGCTGCAATCTTGTGTCCAGTGCTGGGCCCTCAGCTCCAGAAGGACAGGAACTGCTTGAAAGAGTCCAGCAGGGCCACCAAGATGATGCAGGGAGTGGAGCATCTCCTGCTGAGGAGCGGCTGAGGGAGCTGGGGCTCTTGAGCCTGGAGCAGAGGAGACTGAGGGGTGCCCTCATTCCTGGGGATCCATTTGGAAAGGGCAGTGTCAGGAGGAAGGAGCCAGGCTCTGCTCTGGGATGGCCAATGGCAGGACAAGGGGCAATGGTCCCAAGCTGGAGCACAGGAGGTTCAAGCTGAAGATGAGGCCAAAGTTTGTGAGTGTGAGGGTTATGGAGCATGGCCCAGGCTGCCCAGAGAGGTTGTGGAGTCTCCTTCTCTGTAGACACCCAAAGCCCTGGCCGTGTTCCTGTGTGACTGCTCTGGTGATCCTGCTCTGGCAGGGGTTGCACTGGGGGAGCTTTCCAGGTCCCTTGCAACTCCTCATACTCTCTGATTCTGTGTTTGGTTGTGGGCCAAGCTCTGTCCTTGCTCTTCCAAGCCAGGGGACTCACCTGCTCCTCCTCCAGCCGCTTCTGCTCGGTCTCGATGTACTGCTGCACCGCCATGTAAACGAACTTGTACTGCGCCTCTGTCTGCACCATGCCCGAGCGCTGCCTGCGCACCATCTGGATCGTTTTGGGGATGTCGATGTCGCAGTCCAGACCTGCTCAGGAGTAAGAAGACCAGGTTTAGGGAGCAGGAATTCAGTTGAAAAATTGCTTCTTAACTTGGAAACCTTTCAGTATTTCGCTGCACACAGCGTAGCGAAGCCTTGAAATATCATGAAAGGATTTGGTGCAACTCTGGGCCCAGGAGATTTTTTAAATCTAATTTATTTTCCTTTTTTCCCCCCTGCCAAAGCACCTTGGACTGAAGATGGCCAAGGCAGGGCTGACTGGCATGAAGCAAGGGCAATTTGGTCTGTTCTGCAGCACATTCCTACAGATCCAGACTTTGGGGGAACCACGTCTAAAAGGGCTGCTAGAATTACACCTTTAATGAACCTCTTTGCCCCCACCCTGCCCTCAATATTCGAATCCACTGCCTGGAGATCAGCTCCCCACAGGGTTATATCCCAGAAGTGGTTGCAGCAAAGCAAACAGTGAAAGCCACAAGACAGACAGCGAGCCATACCTTGCCTGTGAATAATGTCCACCAGGATATCTATCACTATGATGGTGCCTGTGCGTCCTATTCCAGCACTGGGAAGAGAAAATAAAACAAATCATTGCAAGAGGAAACATTCCCCAGAGTGAGTAAACTCAGCTCCCACTGCCTGGCCCATCCTGGGCAGATCTGGAATGGGTGTTTTAGGATAAACCCAGCCGAATGCAGACCCTGAGGAGATCAGAGTCTGAAGCAGAGCTATCACTACCACATCAGGTTTTCTCCCCCCATGTGTATACTGATATCCCAATTACCCACCACCAGGAGTAATGGGAAAGACACATTTTGTATTGCCCCACTGCCAGCCCGCTGGTCTGTACCTGCAGTGCACGACGATGGGCCCCGTGTCTGGAATGCTTCGCTGCGCCCGGTTCACTTGGTCCAGAAAGCTGAGAACCCCTCCTGGTTCATTGGGCACCCCATGGTCTGGCCAGCTAAAATACTGATAGTGCTTCACCAGCCTTGGGCGCTCGTCCTGCGGGGAGCAGAGACCCACCACTGCATCAGAAACCCTGCGTGCTACCAGGCTTCTCCTTCCTGGGGCAAAATGGCCCAGAATTACAGAATATGAGGAGTTGGAAGGG